AATTGATAATTCCACATTTTCTAAACTAACACCAGAAGAGTTAACAATCCCTGAAAGGACACAAGCCCCTAAAGAGGAAGAAATCCCTGAAGGAATACAAGAACATATAAATGAAGAAATTTCTATAAACTTTACTCATTCTAGAGAAATGTGGAACCGTGAGACAACTATTGTCGATAACATATTCTCATATGCAGTAGCTACTAAAATTATGAATGATGCGTTTGAGCCACGTTCTATTAATGAATGTCGACAAAGACATGATTGGCCAAAATAGGAAGAGGCAATTCAAGCAGAATTAACCTCCCTAGCAAAACGTAATGTATTTGGACCTATAGTCTAAATGCTTGAAAACGTGAAATCCGTAGAATACAAGTGGGTATTCACAAGGAAACGAAATGAGAAAAATGAGATTGCTAGGTATAAGGTCAGACTAATGGCTCAAGGTTTCCTACAAAGACCTGGAATTAACTTTGATGAGACGTATTCACCAATGATGGATGCTATCACATTTCGATATTTGATTAGTTTATCAGTCTCAGAAGGACTTGATATGCGTCTCATGGATGTTGTCACTACGTATTTGTATGGTATACTAGATATTGATATCTATATGAAAATCCCTGAAGGATTCAAAATACCAAAACCAAATAAAAGGAACATGTATTCAATAAAATTGCAAAGATAGTTATATGGGTTGAAACAATCAAGATGAATGTGGTATAATTATCTCAGTGAATATTTGATTAAGAAATGATACATCAATGATCCTGTATGCTCGTGTGTCTTTATAAGAAGGTCGGAATTAGGATTTGCAATTGTAGCAGTATATGTCGATGACATAAACTTAATAAGGACTCCTAAAGATGTCACAATAGTTGCTGAGTACTTAAAAAGAGAATATACAAAACAGATATTGGTTGCAACATCCTCCAATCATTCTGAGATTTTTGCGCTTCATGAAACCAGCCGAGAATGCGTATGATTAAGATCTGTCATCCATCATATAGTACATAGAAATTGTCACATACCTCATATGCTCCCACAATTATAAATGAAGACAATACAGCATGTATTGCTTAAGTCAGGGGGGGATATATCAAAGGAGACAGAACCAAGCATATTTCACCGAAGTTCTTTTACACTCACAAACTCCAGCAAAATCGTGAGATTGATGTCAAACAAATACGCTCCAATGATAATCTTGCAGATTTATTCATTAAGCCCTTACCGACATCAACATTTGAAAAGTTAGTGTTTAACATCGGTATGTGGCAGCTGAATAAGTTACAAAATTAATTCTACCATTATGAGGGGGAGCATTGATCAAGAAAAGCAACGATTAGGGGGAGTTTTTAGACAAATATATTGTGGGTGTGTTTGTTTTATTATTTTGAGTAGTATTTTTGAAATATTATTGTTAAGTTGAGTTAGGTTATTATTACGAGGTAAAATTTAAAAATTAACAAAAAAAACCCTAAGTTTGTTAATTTAGCTAAACACCCCTAACAATAAAAAGTTTATAAATTGACAAAAACACCCCCACCCACCCACAATTGCTAGATTTCGGCTACCACCGCCAGAGTCTGGCTGGAATCTTGTTTTATTGCACACAACCGGCCAGATCTGGCCGATCATGCACCATTATGACCTTTTCTAGCTAGATCCACCACAGACTACGATCGGATCTGGCCGTTGACGGCCATATCTGGCCGTCGTTGTTGACAGTCAACGACAGCCATATATTAGCCATCATTGACGACTAGATATGGCCAAAGATCTAGCTTCAATGGCTAGACCTTTGGTCGTAATCTAGTTGGTAATACACCAATCTAACAATTTCCGATCAGATCTACGATGGATCTAGCCAGAAAAGGTCAGATCGGTGCACTACCAGCTAGATCCAATCGGTAGTGCGCCATTACACCAGATTCCGGCCACCTTTTGGTGGTAGTTGCTGGAATCCGACAAATGTGGGTGGGTGGGTGGTGGTATTTTTGTCAATTTATAAAACTTTTTTGTTGGTGGTGTTTAATTAAATTAACAAACCTATAGGGGTTTAAATAGTTGAATATTATAGGATATGATTTTGAGAATAAGGAAACAAACATACATTTTTGTAAGGATAGGAATAGAGTATTTTGAAAAAAACGAAACAAACGCAGCCTGTACTGTTTATTGTACTAGGCATAAGTGCACTGTACTTTTTTTCCCTTGATCAAGTTTTGTCCCATTGGGTTTTCCTGACAATGTCAAGTTTTGTCCCATTGGGTTTTCCTGACAATGTTTTTAATGAGATAGTATGAAGCATGTCCAACTTCACGTTACAATTGTATTTCTTTACTTAGGTTTTTTCCCATATGGTTTTTCTTGAGTAAGGATAAATACACTTATATGTAACCGATGGATGTCTAAAAGGGGGGGGGCAGCCGCCTTTTCGACTTTACTTTCTTAGCATTTTATCTTCTTTAATCCATTACATTTATTTCACTAAAATTATAATAAAATTTATAAATTTTAAAAAATTTGGAAGGCCTACGGTGGCGGGCCTGAACATGGCTCCTCCCCTGATCCTGGGCCTTTGAATTGGATTAGCCACGTGGCATGGGCCTTCTCAATATTTTAGGCTGAGGTTATTGAGATAATAAAGAATTAAGAAGAGGGTTATTTTTTATTGAATGAAAAAGACATATACGGTAATTTAATTAATATCTATAGTACAACTCAAACTGAAAATATCTGCTGAAATATAAACAATATAAAGTTAACTCTTGTATTTTATTTTATTTTATCGTAATTTAATTAATTAATTAAAAATTATGCCATTTCCGGTCACTTTTCCTCTGCTTTTAACGGAAAATGAGCTTTTTCTTCTCCTTTTTTTTTTTTTTTTAGCGGGCAAATGTTCATTGTATACTGATAAATGATAATGAACTCTTGTAAATAAATAATTAATAAGAAAGCACCATATTGTATACAATTTTCCGGCATTGATCTTAGGATTAATATACATATGAGCAGGTCCAAGGACATTATTATATAGTAAGAAATTTAACAACAATGGTGTCGATACATAATTTATGGAAGTTCATATATGTACCATGGAATCTGAAAGTTGAGCATACTTATCAGTTGCTGAAGCGATTGAGAACGAAGAATATGTTAACCTTGACATTGTTTTTCAAATCAATTAATGAGAAATTCTCTGCAATCTTTGCGGTGAAATGGCTGAATATCTTATCTACAAACTCATTTCCGAAATGCTTCTTGACCAGTCCCTCGTAGGCAGCTCTAACAAGTGAGGTATAATATTTAACAGAGAATTTTATGTCTGTCAGATTCGGAGTGAATATGTTCATTCTCTCAATGCTGAATAATCCATTTTTCTTTATGATGGCTTCTACCTCCTTAGCCGTCGGATAATATACAGGGATGTTGAACAAGTCCACCTTTACTTCACTAATTAATCCCTGCAATAAAAAACAACACTTGGGATATACCATATATGACATGATTGTATTGAATCGGAAAACAAATTCTTACCAAATTGGCCATGTGAATTAGGGAAGGTCCTAGCAAATCATAGATTTTACCCTCAGCAGTCTCAGGCTTAGAGATCCCATTTGGCAAACCAGATAATACTATGACCATTAATCCTCCAGCCGCAAGTTCTTGAGCTCTAGCATTCAAAAAGGACTCCATGTCTGTCTTGAATTGGGCTGAATATGCCTTAGTTACTTCTTTCACAAGTCCCGTGCAATAGATACTGCCTTTATTCCATGCTGGAGAATTTCTATCCAAAATCTCTTCTGGAACTTTGGAGAGCCAATGCAATGCTGAGGAGGAGTGTATTAAATTGAGAGTGGACTTTGGAAACAAGCGGCTTTGAAAAGGACCTGAACTCCAGCGGCAAAGTATTTTCGTAAGGGAGGAAGGGTTTTAAAGAGAGTGTTGAAATCATTCTTATATTGATCATTAAAGAAGACTTGGAATTCCAAAGATGAAGGTTTTTGGTGTTCAACAAGACATTTTTGCTCCACAGCATCTATAATGTTTTGCACTGCAATGAAGGTGTTAGGTCCTGTGGAGCATCCAAAATCTGCTATTTGAAATGGTTTGCAAGCATGACATATTCCCAAGTCAAGCTTATTAGCTATGGCTTCATTAATCATTTCCTTTGCCACATCCAAAACTAACCTCTGTAGCCATAAACTCATGTTTAATCAGAAACAGAAACAGTATAGATTGATCATGATGTTACGTAAGACTGAAAACAGAAAATGAATGTGAGATTAATACTTTTAATAGTACTTCATATGCCATGAAATCATGATTGATTTCTGAGGGAAAAAAAAAAAAAACTTAATATTTTAGTTTATAGCTTGAGTTTCATGAGCAGAGATATATATGCTAAAATTTTATAGGTATAGTTGATCCATCACTTAACATCTCAGTTATCAGCACACTCCTGTTCAACATCTACCAACAAAACAAAAGGCTTCAGTGTACCTAAATTCGGACTCTTCTTCATCCCCTAAAAGATCAATATCATGGTAACTTAAGAAACAAAATTTATGGAAAAAGGGTATAAACACATATGTGTTTGTGTTATAATAATTATACCTGGTAGGAAGAATTCTTAGCATAGCTTTGAGCTCCATCTCCACCAACCATGGCATAGGATTCTGCAGTAGCCATTTCCCTTCTCACCAAGCTATAGAAATAGGTGTTCTTAAGGCTGCAAGCTTTGTATAACTGGATCACAACATATATAGTTGTTTAAATTTTAGTTTTTGTTGGCCCTCGTTTAGCCGCGTGTCAGTTGTGATGCTAAATGAAGAGTGGATGGATACTAATGTCCCAGATGGATTTATCTTTGAAAAGTATTTTATGAGAAGACCATAAGGGGTTTTGGTCATCTGGGAATGAAAGTAACATATTGTAGCCGGCTTTTATGTTAACAAGAACCAAAATTAGTGACATTATTGTAACATTATGAAAAGTACAATATTTTTGGCTGCGCCATTACACATTAATTCAAGTGTTTATTGGTATAACTTAATCAAACAATTACAACTCAAATACGAAATCTTGAGTAATTGCTCCTGAACTTCTGTCTGTCTAATTAAACTCCGATCACTCTTTCAAATTTCTAATAATGTTTACGCTTAAGAAGAACAAATAATCCATATGTTCGCTTGTAGGTTGGATCAATGAGAACAGCAGACTCCTCAATTTTCTCCTTGAATTTATCAAAAACTTGGTCAACGATCTCTGCTCCAAAATTTTCCCGGATGTTGCTCTCCATGCCGGCTCTCAAATGCATGACCATGGTGCCAGGATCAATCTCCTGGTGAGCCAATAATGGATCCATCTTCTTGATGATGAAATCGCCATTTTTCTCAATCAAAGAGGCTATTTCATCTGGGGATGGGATGTAGATTGACAGGTTGAAGTTGTCCACTTTATCTTCATCAACTAATCCCTGAAATTAAAGGAAGAAAAAGAAAACTTCATTAACATTTGAATACTATTTCTCCTATAAAGTAAACAAGAATTCTGTAGCATAATTTACCTGGCCGGCCAAATCCATGAGAGCAGATCCCAAGAGATCAAAAACTGAAGTTATAACACACTTGCGATGAGGATCCTGAGCACTTGGGATTAGAAGAGCCATAAGACCTCCAGAAACAATTTCAAGGGCCCTGGCATTCAAAAACGACTCCATGTCCTTTCCGAATTGTTTTCCGTAGGCTTCCACCACTTCCTTGGCGGAACTCGGATAATAAACTTTCCCTTTATTCCATGCCGGAGATTGTTTATCCACAAGCTCTTTTGGCAGCTTCGAGAGCCACTGAAGCGAGTAAGACGAGTGAAAAAAGTCAAGACTGGCCTTCGGAAACAAACGATTGTGGAAAGAACCAGGCACGCCAGCTGCATAGTATTCTTTATCTGAAGGCGTAGAAGTGAAAAGGGTGTTGAAATCATTGACAACATGATCGTTGAAGAAGACATGAAACTCAGTCGAGTCTGAATCGATCCCGTCAGATTGAAATTTCAGCTTCACGGAATCTATGATATGTTGTACTGCAATGAAAGTGTTAGGCCCCATAGCACATCCCAAGTCAGCGATGCTAAATTTTTTCTGACAACTTGGTGAAAGAAATCTCTCTGTCTCAAGATTTTCCACAATCCCTTCAGTGATCAAATCTTTAACACATTCTATTCCCTTTTTCTGCAAAATAAATAAACCCGTAAATAATTGCCTCTCCACAAGCATTTGCATATACATGATTTACAATTACAAAAAAAAGAAAAGAACCTGGAGGGTGGAATTTTGGGAGTAGCTGTACTGTCCATCTCCACCATTCATGGCCAGCGGTTCAACTGGGTTGTCTATCTGATCACTGCCCATCTCTGTGCTGTGATATGTGACTCCGGTTTCTTTGTTTCAGTGATCTGAAGTGAAATCTGGTCGCAGGGATGGGTTGAAGCTTAAAAAGGGAAATGATGTAAAGAATAAAGTTTGTTTTGACTGAGAGAAGGAATTAAAAGTGTTGAAATGTATTTGCAGTCAAGTTTGACGGGAGGATTCAATGATGATACTTCTGTTTTGAAGTATATTTTTTCCACACTTGGATGAGAGAGAAGAGACATCATCCAATCCAAGACATAAAAGCCGGCCGCCTTCTTGGATTAAAGACTACGACTGTATTTTGGGAAGTTTGATACAAGACAAAAATTCTTAAGAAAAAATAAAATATATATAAATTTATTTACCATTTATATATCTAATAATAAGAACAGAATAATCATCCTTCAAACAAATTCCATTTCATAAAAGACGAAGAAATTTTCATCGTCTCCCTACCATTGAAATTTACTCCCTTTTCCTTACGAACATGCTTAAATATTATTTTGTGTGTGATTCTGAGTTCTTATATTTATATATATATATAAAGGAATAAAAGTATTGGAATTTTTTGACAAACATAAAATTTTAAGATTATAATCCTAATTTCTTAATTTTTTTAAGAAAAGTCAGAAAGAAATTTATTCTTCTGGCAACCAACTTGCCCTGGATTTATAGAAAATTCATAAAGAAGTATGGTATATATGTGAAAAAATAATTTTTATATATAAAATTTGAAACTATATGTCGTCAATGGATCATGGAAACACACGACTGGAAGTGTGGAACAAATATTATTAACATAAATGTTCTTTAAAAAACAAAAAAATAATAATAAAAAACAAGTGGCGTTTTCCTGCCACTTGAAATTATCTTTAGCCATCTGATCAGAAACTGTCCTCGCTTGATGTTGGCGAGGACTTTGGGCCGCCATTGTTATAAAAGAATAATGTTACATTTACGTCCCTTTATATCATTTTCATTATATCATGATTTTTTTATATCATTTTTATTACATTATGACGTGATATATGTTATAATTATATAAATTTTTAATTATTTTAAATTTTTAATACTATAATAAAATTGGTATGGTTATAACATATATCACATCATGATGTTATAAAAATAATATAAAAGAGTGGTGTAAATGTTTATAAAAATCATCACTCGCTCAACTTATGAAACTTGACAATCATTTATAAATTATATATTTAAATTAATAATTTTAATTGGATTTATGATAAAACCCTTAATATCAGTCAAAATGCCAGTGGCATTTTTAATGGTAAACCATTCAAAAAGACCTTAAGATGTTATGAAGTCAATATCTTAGTAGGTATGAGGTTTGATTATTTTGGTGAAGAAGAAAGATTTTATCATCATTTTAACCATTTTATTTTAATTAAGCTTCCATTTAATGTCATATTGCATGTGAGTTATCATATTCGTTCACCTAAATCATAATTCACTGTTATTTGTTATCCTTAATATCTACATGTATCATAATAATAATAATAATAAAGTTATTATTAATCAGAGGATACTTTTATAAAAAAAATTATTGTTATAAATACGAATATTAGAAAAGACAATGAGAGGACACCTCTATTCTAAAACAGGCCCAACTCAACTAGTTTAACCAGTCACACCAGACCTAGGGCCTTCTTCAAGCCTGGTTACCACTTTCCACTGTTTCAAAAACCCTAACTTGACCTTCGACCATTTCTGGCCACTTTTTAGCGCCCTTTACCTCCTTCCACTCACCTGACCGCTGCCCACCCCCTGGTGTCAATAACGATCAGAATCTAAGTGGAAAAATCAATCCAATCGCAATGATATACAGGAGTTACGATAGGCGAATGAAGGGCTACCAAGTGTCAGGGTTATAGGGTTTTGTAGAGTTAATGTCGGTGGTTCAGGTGGCGACGTTGAATTTTAGACTTCAAAATCAGCCGGAATTTAGTTGGAAAAATCAACCCAATTGCAGCGATATATGCGAGTCATGGCTAGCAAACTAGAGGCTACCAAGTATCGATTATAGGGGTTTTATAGAGTGGAGGCCGATGGTTTAGGTGGTGGTGTTGGATTGAATTTTGACCATTATAATTAGCAAAATTTGCCTAGAAAAGCTAAACTCTAACTGTGTGATCATATCACAAGGATGTGTTTGCTAAATTTTAAACCTGTAAGGACTAATATGTACTTATCAGGTGTATTTGCTAGATTTCAAACTTGCTGGATCACCAGTCAAATTGCCTGTTTAACTAGCCGAATCGGTCAACCCAGGACTCGACCCCTTAGTCGCGTGACACCTTAGGTTGGGTTTCAGAATACTGAAGGACACTTAATGGTGCAAAACTGTTAACTTTTTAAATGATTGAATTATCCATGTGTGAATTATTTTATTGTTTTAAAAAAAAATAGAAATAAAACAGTATATACAACACTGAAATTAAAAAAAAATGAAAATACAAAAAATAAAGCAACATATATTAAAAAATTAAAACTAAAATATAAATTATAGTTTCAAAATTTTTTTGCTTTTGATTTCCACTTTTCTAATTTTTTTTTTCTATTGATATGTCTTCAGTTATTTTTATTTTGACACGTGTCATTTTTTAATTGATTTTTAAAAATTATTATAGTTTAAAAAATTTATATGAAACTATATTACATATTAAATTACCTTACTATCCTTAATAAAATTAAAGTTAACGGTTTGAAACCGTTAAACCTAGTGTTGTTTTTTCTAATANTTTGGGCGGCCATTGTTATAACAATCATCACTCACTCAACTTATTGAAACTTGACAATCATTTATAAATTATATATTTAAATTTCAGTCAAAGGATCAATAATTTTAATTGGATTTATGATAAAAACCCTTAATATCAATCAAAATGTAAGTGGCATTTTTGATGGTAAACCATTCAAAAAGACCTTAAGATGTTATGAAGTTAATATCTTAGTATGTAAGAGGTTTGATTATTTTGGTGAAGAAGAAAGATGTTATCATCATTTTAACCATTTTATTTTAATTAAGGTTCCATTTAATGTCATATTGCATGTGAGTTATCATATTCGTTCACCTAAATCATAATTCACTCTTATTTGTTATCCTTAATATCTACATGTATCATAATAATAATAAAGTTATTATTAATCAGAGGATACTTTTATAAAAAATTTATTGTTATAAATACGAATATGAGAAAAGACAATGAGAGGACACCTCTGTTCTACAACCAGCCCAACTTAACTAGTTTAACTAGTCACACCGGGATCTAGGGCCTTCTCCGAGTTTGGTTACTACTTTCTACTGTTTGAAAAACCCTAACTTGACCGTCGGCCACTTCTGGCCGCTTTTTGGCGCCCTTTGCCTCCTCCCACTCACCTGACCACTGCCCACCCCTTGGTGTCAATAACGATTGGAATCTAAGTGGAAAAATCAACCCAATCGCAATGATATACATGAGTCACGATCGGCGAATGAGGGGCTACTAAGTATCAGGGTTATAAGGGTTTTGTAGAGTGAAGGTTGATTGTTCAGGTGGCGATGTTGAATTTTGGATGCCAGAATCAGCCAGAATTTAGCTGGAAAAATCAACTCAATCGCAGCGATATACGCAAGTCACGGCTAATGAAATGGGGGCTACCAAGTGTCGGTTATAGGGGTTTTATAGAGTGGAGGCCAATGGTTTAGGTGGTGGTGTTGGATTGAATTTTAGCCTTTGGAATTAGCGAAATTTGGTCTAGAAAAGCGAAACACTAATTGTGCGGTCATATCACAAGGACGTGTTTGATGGATTTCAAACCTGTAAGGACTAATATGTATCTATCAAATGTATGTTTGCTAGATTTCAAACTTGTTGGATCAACAGTCAAACCGTCAATTTAACTAGTTGAATCGGTCAACCCAGGACTCGACCCCTTAGCTGGGTGACACCTCAGGTCGGGTTTCAGGATATTGGAGGCCACTTAACGGTGTAAAACTGTTAATTTTTTAAATGACTGAAATATCCATGTGTGAGTTACTTTATTGTTTTAAAAAAATAGAAATATACAGCACTGAAATTAAAAAAAAAAAAAATGAAGATATAAAAAATAAAGCAACATATATTAAAAAATTAAAACTAAAATATAAATTATAGTTTCAAAATTTTTTTGCTTTTGATTTCCACTTTTCTAATTTTTTTTTTCTATTGATATGTCTTCAGTTATTTTTATTTTGACACGTGTCATTTTTTAATTGATTTTTAAAAATTATTATAGTTTAAAAAATTTATATGAAACTATATTACATATTAAATTACCTTACTATCCTTAATAAAATTAAAGTTAACGGTTTGAAACCGTTAAACCTAGTGTTGTTTTTTCTAATATAACTGTAAGTTTATAATAAAACTATCATGTGGTTGATAACAAGCCCATCATATCTTGTTGGGCCGTAGGCCCAGTTTATGTACTAGCTGAGGTCCTTCAAATCATGCTTGGCCATGGGCATCACTAATAATAAATTAATTGGCCACTCCTTCAAATCATGCTTTTCTATTGATATATTTTTCCTATTTTACATTTTATTTGATATGTCTAAAAAAGTTTAGAAATCATCATAATACAAACTATTGAACTTTAATTGAATGGACTTAAAAGAGAAATTACAATTAGAGATATTTTAAGGTTAGTTTAAGTGACTTTAAAACGATTGAATTGCATTAAATTAGTATTAATATTAATTATTATTTTATTATTATACGTGATATTGTGATGTTCGTTAACATCAAACCTTGTAGTCATAGACATAACCGCCAATTTTCCCACCAAAAACTGTCCCCATGCGCACCCATCTCTACATATAAATACCTCCCTTCTGGATTTTGACAGATGGGTAACTCCCCTAACTCTTTGGGGGTGTTAGTGAAGCAAAGTTAGTGATTGTTGAGGATGACGAAGACGATGGGTAAGATGGAAGAAGGGTGTTGTTCGACTGGTTTAGACATGCAAGTGATTGGGAATTTCTTGAGTTTCGCGTCGAGAGGTGACAGAGTTGGGCTGAACCAGATGTTGAGGCAAGGTACTCCTCCTAATGTTCAAGACTATGACAAGAGAACCGCCTTACATCTTGCTGCGAGTGAAGGTCACGCTCCCATTGTTGAGCTTCTTCTTCATTACAAGGCTGATGTCAATCTCATTGATCGATGGCAACGCACTGTAAGCAAACCACGCCCTTTTAATATTTTATATGTATCAATTGTAGTTCATTTTGGTATGCTTCATTAAGATTTTGCGTGTGTAACATTAATCTATAGACTGTTGTGAGGGTTGAGTTATGTTACTTTAAGCTTGGAGTGATATGATCTGCAGAATTGAAATGTGATTTGCTACGTAGAACTCAACATGATCGGATGGCGAGTAGGTTGATTTTGAGGAAGAGCGTAATTTGTTAATGTGTAGTGTGGAACACCCTTTTCGATTCTTTATACATAGACTTGCTGAAGATCTATTATAAGCTCAAGTTGTTTAAGTAGATATATAGTTAATAAAAAGGGAGGTCTGCACTTTTAAGGTAGCTCCCAAAAAATTTCATAACAAACTATAATTTGATTCTCTTATTGAGATATAGTTTTAAGCTAGATGTTTAGTGTTTATGATAAGAATGCCAAAGAAAATTGAAATGAGCATTCAAAATTAAAAGGAATTCACATTTTAGTTGGAGTAATCCAAATTAAAAAAAAAAAAAAAAATAGTAAAAGGAGGAAGGGTTTAATGCTTTTCAAACTTGGCACTTTTGGAAGCTCATTAATTGACCGAATTCTTAGTCAATTTTTTTTCTTTTTTTCATAATTGATCATTTATAAAATGTAGATAAAAAAGATCTATTTTTTTTTTTTTTTTTTTAGAAATCACAGTATACAAAAATTGACCGAAGCTTCCAAATAGTGTAGCTTCTCTAACCATCGTATGGATTCTGCATCACACTCTTGTTCAAAAGGGATTTTTTTTCCACATTTCATTTTATGAAAGCAAGAGCATTTATTTCTATTTCACGCTATAATTTTGCAAAGGTTTGATCATAACTTGATTATGATTTATTTGTAAGTTTAATATCAATTAACTGTGTTTTTGGTTGTACTATGAAGCCCTTGACAGATGCAAGACTCTATGGACACCGAGACATATGCAGGATCCTGGAAGTAAATGGAGGCAAGGACTTCATCAATGATCAACCAATGGTAATTGAACTATTATCATATTCTAGTTTTTATTATAAGAGCTGAAGTATTGACATCCAGACATTAACATTCCATGAAGTAAAATATCTTATAATTCTGTAGAGTGAACTCAACCTAATAAAAGTTATCTAACTAATTGTGCTGTAAAGCTATTTACTGAAAGAATGGGCAGCAAGCTCCTCTGTTTTTTGTTTTTTCTTTTCTTTTGTTTTTTCCCCTCTTTCCCTTAACAAGTTGACCCGACTTTCTTTTTCCTCCACTTTTTCCTTGTGGTCTGTAAACAAGAACTAGTAAATTGAATTTGTAGGTTGTTACTTCGAGAAACAAATTATTCATGAAATGCATGTCCTAACATGAGGTGTTGAGATGATTATGTGAGAATGCTATAAAGATTAAGTTAAAGAGATGAATAACATTTGCCAGAAGGTAGAGGTGCAGTTTTCAAGATAAATTGTGGAAGGTTAGTTCATGGTTTCATCATGTCCACAATATTGACTGTTGGATGCCTTCATATAAAAGAGTAGTTCAGTAAAAGTGGTAGAGATAGAAAGTGGAAGCCTGGAAGGTGTAAAACAAAATTTGCATGGATTGGAATTTGGAGTGGTAAAAATCTATATAATTTCAAACCATGACCCTTTGTAGGACAGAAAAGGACAATGGGATTCATTTAGTTGATGCCAACTGAATTAAAACTTGATTGAGCTGAATAGTTAATTTGCCTGCATTTCATGAGATAAAATTATCACCAAAATTTGTCATTTGTTCACCTACTGGTACAACCTCTATGTCCGCTAGAATTCATTTTGCTAGTTATGTCCTTTATGCTGTTGTAACATATATTGTCATGTGTAATGTGATGTAGTTCTTTGTTATTTCTGTAGACAGTGCGGCATGAGCAAGATTCAAGTGCAGCAAAATTTGACATTAGGGAACTGGATACACAACACTCCTCAACAGTTAAACAGGTACACAATGAAAGAGAATGGTTTATCTGTTAACCTAAAGTTGCTTTTGTTGGTTTTTAATTGCAGAAGTATGCATAAATTGGATCTGCTCATGTTAAGACAGAGATAAACAATATTAACATGCTTAGTTATAGATATTTGAAAGACTAAAGTTCCTAGCACCAAAAATCATCCATGCAATCATCAAGAACTTGAGAAAACGAGTGTGTGGACACCTTAATCCACCAAAAGAACTAGAGAAAAATTAAGAAAGTAGGTCCAGTTTGTCTTAGGATGACTTGGCCACTATTTTTCTCACTGTTGATTTTCACAGATAGGATTTCTCTTTCTAGACCACCAAAAACTTTTGGTTGCATTGAATAAAAGTAACGCACAATGCCAAACCATTTGAAGAATTAGTAATTGGTAATTAATCTCTTACAAATGTAGAATGTTTAGTATTGGTTTAGATGTTAGTAAATGTAAGTAGCACAAAATTTGTCATCACTTTTTCAAAGCACACTATAACCTTTCAATTAAAAAGAAAACTATTTGAAAACCAAACTTGTACTTCATAAAACCTTACTTAATAATTTCTGAAAAACGATAGCTTGTAACTGATGCCTTATTAGACACATAGAACTCACGAATTCAATGGGACATGATCATCCTATTTTCCCTTAATGGTTAAGCCTACTAGTAGCTCTTAAAACATAATTGTGCTATATGGTGTTTCCTTCCTAAGATATATCCAGTGAATGTCTTTTTTGAATTCAATTGAGTAGAGAAATTCTCCTTTTCTTAGGGTGTATTTGGCGAATCTCAAATGGTCAAGTGGCGTGGAACGTGGGTGGTCAAAACTGTGATTAAGTGCGACAAGGATGATCATCCTGCACAAACGTAAATGAGATTGATTACATTTGTCATCTCATGTCCTTAACAATTTGGTAAAGTGGTGCCTGATGGAATGTTTCCTTTTCAAGCATATTGCAGGATACTGTCTGCCAAGGTTAATACATTGTTACAGGAACTCCGACATCCCAATATCTTGCAGTTTCTTGGTTCAATTGTTTGCGGAGAGGAGATAATTCTGATAACAGAGTACCTGCCAAAAGTATTTCTTATTACAAATATCTGAACTTTTTTTTTTTTTTAATAACAACTTGATGGGGTTGATTATAATTTTTATTGCTGCTAATAGCTTAGTATTCCTTACAACTTGGCTTAGAAGTCCAAAAATTTTCTCAAGCACATGATATGCCTAACACGAAACTTAGATGCACCGAGCAGAAATAAGGAAATATTACCATGCATGCGGTTTGCAGTTTGAAGCTTCAACAAAATCACAAAAATACATAGTTTGTATTTTATAAGATTTGAAGACAGAATTATTATCCTGTTTACTAGAATGACTATGGTAAAGTTTTCCATCATAATAATGCCTTTTGGTGTAACTTGTTTCTAGATTGTAAATATCTCTTTGGTGAAAATCCAAGCCTCTTAAGGCTTGTATTTATGTCAAGTTGCACTGAGATGTCATTGGAGTAAGTGTGTCATTTACAATAAGAGAACTATAATGCTTACAAGCTTCTAAGAAATGCTAAGTTTCATTTTGAAACAGTGTGGCATCAATTAGAAGAGGATGAACTTGCAGCTAAGTTACAATTGCTAAATTTTACATCTGTAAGCATGTGTAGTCTATCCAATCATGTAACTTTTACTTTAGCAAACCAGAAAAGAAAGGTGGAACCAAATCTAAGAGAATACTGACAAGCAAAAGAAAAAAGGCCAGCTAACCTGGCTCTCCCTTTTGTAATAGTATTTAAATTCCTAAGGGAAAACTGTTTTTTGTAATGCAAACAATGCAATGGACATACATTTCAATGCATACTTTCCTCTACCTGTAATGCAGAATTAATTATTCTTGTATTTTGTAGTACTTCTACGTCAAGAATGCAAAAGGGGAGGGCTATTTTCCATGATCAGTCCGTCTTTCAAAGGTTAATTTAATCTTATTAAATTTGATGCTTATATTCAGGGAAGCTTGGATTATATCTTGTCCAAGAAAGTTCGACTTGAACTTCACATCGCCCTGCGGTATGCACTTGATATTGCTAGGTAATGTACATTTGCTTCACTTGTTTTCTGTAGGGAAATGGCTCTGGTTGGCAAATAAAGAGGATTTCATTAGCAGTTGCATATCAGATGTTCTCTTTCTAAATTTAATAAGTGTAGCATCTAGAGTTTGGAAAATTTTGATATAAAATGATCTCAAATTTTCTGTTCTTTCCAACTAAATAGTTACTAACAAAGGACTTCTCTCAGTACCATTTTACTGTAATTTCTTTTGTCATATTATGCACTGCAGTTTGGTGGTTTACATTCTTCAAGCTTTCATTTTTCTGTTTATTTCTCCGCTCTCTTTCTCTCTCATTTTAAGATACCCAAATAAGTATGAGCCTTTTAGTAGAGATGGGAGCTTTTCAACAATGGATTTTCTTGTGTTATCACTGATGTTACTTCATTTTCAATTTCATTTCTTTTTCATGTGCCCATTATTTGTCCAATGGCATCTCAACTATTTGTTGTTCATACCATTGAAGAGTCAGTTTTTGGTCCCTTTATTAGAGAAACTGGTATCTATCTATCAGTTTTTTGTATATTCTGTATGAGGAAAATTTTTTAAATCTATGTCTGTGTATATATATGCTTGTATAACTGCATAAGTTTCCAGATTTAACGCTGTTTTGATTTTCCAAATATTGTAGTTCTTAAGGACCACATTTCTGGCTTATTTTCTTTCCCCGGTAAAAATAGATACTAACGCACTCTTAATTCTAAATCAATTGGCAGAGGCATGAATTATCTTCATGAGCACAAACCCTCACCCATAGTTCACAATTATTTGAATACCAAGTAAGTTTTGATACTTAACATTCAGCTAATTGGCTTTGAAAGGGATTGTAAAATTAGAGTTAATATTATAACTCACCTGTATGTTAGTTTAACACAGCTGGACTGGAGTAGTTTCATTTTTCTACATAAATCTCTCTCTGCCTTTGGTATCCATAAGTTAAATGAGCACGTTGATTAAGATGACCGATGTTATGATATGATTGTCCCCAAAGAATCCTCAAAAATGATTATGGATTGCCTTGATCCTCAAAAATATGAAAATATGTAGTGAATATAACATTAATATAAAGATAAATCTAGCTTGCTGGTTTGAAGAATGTTGTGCTTAAGTATTATTGCTTACGCATTAGCTTAATTTCTTGGACATAATGGCTTCTAAGCATAGTAGCAAAGGAAGAAAAAAGTTCATACAGGGCTTGTGTTCAAATACTGGAAAAAAAAATCTCTTGTTCTATTAGTCAAATTGTAAACCTAGTAAAATGAGAGTGAAAGACACTGCAGATTTTGTTTTTCAGCTTTGTTTGCAGAAAGTTGTTTTCTGATGCATCTCATTCTTTTACAAAAAAACAAAAAAAAGACCACCTTTTTATACTTGTTCTAATAACTGATAACAGTCCTAAAACTGGTTTAATCTACATCACACAACTTAATATTAGTTTATCTAACACAACTCAAGTTAAAAATAAAAACTGCGGTGACTTGGAAATTGCAGCACATTAACATTAACACCTAGCCTTGCATGTGATGATGTATGTTAGAGCTTAAAAATTATAGTTTGGTATCTTGTTAGTCTAAGCTTTTGGTACTTAACTGTTTCTCACCATGTTCTGCTGTCATGTTTCACCTAGTTTTGAGCATGTTGATTACTTTCATTCAGTTGAGAATGGTTGTGCACTAACAGATAATAATCTTATGAAGTTGTTTCGTATTTTGTGTATACAGAAATTTGTTGCAAGATGAAGGTGACCAATGGAAGATTGGAGAGTATTGGCTTCAAATTTTGTATAAACAAAGGCACCCTAATCAAGACAAAAGTGTGTATCATTACCCTAATGTTAACTCTATTCTTTCAACAATGGTTTTTAATCTGATGAATATATTTTGTATCACAGGCCAAAGAAATGATAATTCTAGCATTCCTATCAACCTGTCTGATGACACCAAGAAAGATATCCACTCATTTGGCTGCATATTGTATCAGGTATATATTTGGATATGATGGCTCACATAATATGGCTTCCATGACTTGCTTTCAAAACTTCTATTATGAATTCTCAAGGCTGAAGGCTCCTATAAAGAGAAATGTGTGGTTGTATCTTACAATCAAATGCAATGTTTAGAAAACTATATTAAGTTTTACAAATTCATTTTCGATTCATCATTGATGTCAACTAGCAAAACAGTAGCCAATCAAAACTCAACTCCTAAGAATCCTAATCCATAACCACTGCATTATTTATCGTCTAGCATCATTCTTTTGAGATCAGCCACTAATTTACTCATAACATGGACAAAATTGTTTACTATTCCACGTATAAAGTTTCTTGATAGAGACATACCACTGGTGTCGTTCGTTGATGATCATAAATACATTCTTCGTGTATAAATTCATGCAAACTACTGAGTACCTTAAGTGTTTACTGTTATAAAGAAGAACAAGCTGCATCAAATAAATGTGCACCTAAAATCAATATTTAAATAAAAAGTTTCAACTGAATCTTAATTGCCAACAGTGGCAAACCAATGAAGTTTGGAAATTGTACAAACTGTTATGTTATTGTAGTTTCTAATCACTTAACAGAACCTTAACTTCTTGAATTTGAAATATGATAGATGCTAGAAGGAAATCACGAGGAGACCAACACAATATCTGAGTTCATGCATTTTGAACCAAAATTTCAGCTAAGTCGATGCCCTAAAAGAATTCAAGAGTAAGTGAATATCATTTTCATCTCAAATTCTATGTTAATGGCATGTTTTCCGTTTTCTTGGATAGTTCTCTTTTTATTTCCTATGAAGCCTTAAATAACTATTCACTATGTTACACTTGCATATGATTTTCAAGTATTGATCACTTATAGTGTCTACTCTCTGTAGATTGATACAGTATTGCACAAGTAAAGATCCATCGGAAAGGCCATCATTTGCAGCCGTCATAGAAATCCTGGAAGAAGTCTCAGCAGGTGTGGGGAAACCTGCATGTCCTGTGTGTTGAGTGCATTATGCAATGTGAATGTGCATATATATACACAAATACTGCAACAGTAAGTTAAAAATCTCACGATATTGTGAGTACAAGTTACAGTAATATCCTGAACTTGCTTACTACTAGTAAGCTTGGATGTTGAAATTGGTGGATAATAATAAAACTTGCAGTACATAACATAAATGGAAGACTTGGTATCATGTATCCAGCCTTTCTGAAAATCTTGTTTGAAAATAATGGGTGTTAACTACATGAGGGTGCACAGCAGCACAGATTAGCAGCACCCTTTATAGTTTTACACCTTAACATAGAATTTCAATGCTTAACATACTTTTTGACCTAATTTTATGGACTTATCCAGCCAAACAAACGGTTTTAACGCTCAACTCATACAAAGTTAAATTTACTTTTGTATTAATAAATAAGTTTTAATCCCTTTTTGGTTTTGGGAGTATTAATTGTTTGTATATTTGTTTAAGGAGTAGACGACGTTTTCCCACCCAAGGTTTGCCTTAATGACATTTTTCCACCAAAAAAGTTTCTAAATACTACTTCCACCCAAAGTTTATATTTTATTAATACCTAAAATACATTTCACTTTCTTAGTCGGTATTCGGCAAGTTACCAAAAGTTAAGGTAAGAAATGTTTTGTAAAGTGGATGCCGATAGACTGAATGGTGGTGACTTGTTGAATATTCGCCACTACAATTAGCTGAAAATTAGCTAAGAACAGAAAATCCTAGATTTGCAATGGTCACCAATCGACGAGAAATCAGGTGTCGGAATGAGAGAGGTTTTGTAGAGAGGAAATTGGAGGTTCAAATAATGGTGATAGAGAGAATTTTCATCGCCAGAATTGGCTTTAAATAGTAACAGAATATAAACTTTTAGTGAAAGTGTTCATTAAGGCAAACCTAAAGTAAGAAAATGTCGTTTACTCTTTGATTAAGCAGTCAAACTTGTGTGCGCTATATCTATATGTATGGTTTGTACGAGTCAATTTTGCCACCCTTAGCTAAAGTCAAAAGGAACTTGTGTCAATTACCTTACCTAATTGAGAAATTAACTTCTGGTTTAATTGATTTTAACCAAACCCCCTTCAAATAAAATACCCACTTTTGGTCTTTTACTTTATTCTTTCTAACTCACGTATTGGGGATAACTTACGACTTTGGTTTGGTAATTATTTTATTTTAAAACATTATTTTTGGCATCAAAATATTACTATATTAGTTTTATAAATCACTAATATTCTTCAAATATACCTTAAATAAATATAGGTATTTTTATTAGGTGATTTCCAAATAGAAAGAGTTGGTTGGTTGGTATGACCTAACTTTTGTGTTTGGGCCTAAACAATCACTAATTTCGGTATAATCTCAATTATCTCTTGGTGCAACTGAAACAGATTTCTTGTGATTATAAAATTAATTTGACCTCCTCTGTATTTTTCCATAAATTCTAATTTCAGATTTACTTACTTATTACTACCACAAGATTATCAATTCAGCACCAGTTTTTTTAAATATGATAAATAAAAAAATAACTTTAAAATATAGTGAAATGACAACCTATCAGTCTAATTGATTGAAGGTGAGATCGTTTAATCTTAAATATCTTCAAAGTTTTTGAATATTATTAAAATTTCCATATAATTATTGAAAACTCCTTTCAATCATTAAGAGGAGTATTTAAAACAACCAATTTAATTTAAAATAATAGCACCCAACCCCGTACGGACTCCAATAATCATATAAAAATTTAACAAAATATAAATAAATAAAATAAAGCCTGCTTTGCCAGTGAGTGCACTCAAGCATGAATGAGATGTAATCCAATATCCAATTAGGCTTAGCCCAGATGAGGTGGGAAAGCAGCTTCTCATCAAATCATAGCACTATTATTAATTATTTATTTTTGTGTTTGAAGAATTAGAAAATGCACAGAAATTTAATGGAAGAATGTTGCTTGGGAGTGGCACCAACCATCCCGTGACGCAGCAGCATATGATGAGCTGCCTTTCAGCGTGAACCGACAGCGACACCGCCACCGCCACTGCCCTTCCTTCCTCTTTTATTGGCAACATATATAATTACGAATTTGTATTACGCAAAGGGAAAGCTGACCATTTCATTAAAAGTCAATTCCACATGCCTGATGCTTCCTAAACACATTTCTTTCTATTATTATAAAGAGTAAACAACTTTTTTCCACCCAAGGTTTACCTTAATGACACTTTCCACCCAAACAGTTTTAAACTACCACTTTCTTAACCCACATTTATATTCTATTAATACCCAAAGCTGACAACCGATTCCAGTGGCGAAAATTCTCTCTGTCATCACTATTTGAGTCTTCAATCTCTTCTTTACAAAACCCTTCTAACTCTGGGACCTAATTTTTGGTCGCTTGTCAGTCATAGCAAAATTAGGGTTTTCTGTTTTTAGTTGATTTTCGGCTGATTCCGGTGGCGAATATTCAATCGATTATCACCATTCGATCCACCGATCTCCGCTCTACAAAACCTCTCTTACTCTGACTCCTGGTAATTCGTCGAACACCAGCTAAGAAAGTGAACTGTATTTTAATTATTAGAAGAATATAAACTTTGGGTGAGAAAGTAGTATTTTGAAACTTTTTGGATGGAAAGGGTAGGGTGGAAAGGGTAGCCAAGGCAAACCTTGGGTAGTGAAAAGTTGCTTACTCTATTATAAAATATATAAACACAGTAATTTTTGTCCACGAGTTGAAAATTTATCAAGAGTTTATAATAATATCCCTTTAATTACTTGGTTGGGCAAAAGAGCTTCAGGCTAATTTTCAACAACGAAGGCCATCTGGCCAGTGGCCATGTAATTGAAAAGGACCCACACGTCATTTAACAAAATAATATATTAATTGATTAATTAATTAATTAATTAATACAACAGTTAGACCTCTTCGTTGCTTTTCCATTCCATTTCTAGAAACGCGGAGTCGCGGACTCAGCTCAGCTCCATTGTCAAGTGTCAACTCAACCCCTCCTTCATCCAACTGCCTCCCCCTTAGAATCTTCTTCAACCTCTCCTTTTCTCCTTTCTATATATTTCTCTCAAACCCCCCTTCTCCCTCCCATAACTAAACTTCTCCATTCAACTCTCACATTAATTATCAATAACTTCCTTCTTCTTCTTCTTCCTTCTTCCTCTCAATTCAACTCTCATACTTCAGTCATGGGAAATTACGTTTCATGCACGCTTTCGACTCCATTGGCCAGGCAATCAAGATCGGTAAAAGTTGTGTTTCCAGGCGGAGAAGTCAAACAAATCCTAACGCCCACAAAAGCGGCGGAGCTCATGCTGGAGATGCCGAACTTCTTCCTTGTAAACTCTCAGTCTCTGAAAATAGGGCGGAGGTTTTCTCCTCTCAGCGCGGATGAAGACCTAGAAGCGAGAAACGTGTACGTTATGTTTCCGATGAAGAAAGTGAACTCCAAGGTGACGTCCGGGGACATGGGCACTTTGTTTATGGCTGCCAAGCGGAGTTCTTCTGGGAAAGTGAGGATTTCTCCGGCGGATCAGGGTGGGGAGGTAATGAATAATAAGATTGATGAAGAGACGGCGGTACCGAAGCTGAATTTGGATGATGTTGAGGAATTTTCGAAGCCGGAGTTTATGCTTATGCGTAGATTGTCCATGTCGAGGTCGAAGAAGCCATTGTTGGAGACCATAGCAGAAGAACCCGTTTGCGTACGACGATGAATGAATGATTTTTGCTTTTGTTTTTGAAAGGGAGATATATAGCATAGATTGATGTAGAATTAAGGAAAATTAATTGTGTGTATAAATAATTAATGTATGATATATATGGAGAAACAAGGTGTTCACCATTTTAATTTCTCATTCCTTTTCATGCAATGTGATCTTCATTACTCTTATTATTTCTTTCCCGAAATATTTCCTTCTTAATTAGATAATTTTATATTAAAACAAAATTAATGAATTATATATGAGAATTGAGATGTAAGATTATTGCATATATTTGCAGGGAATGATTTATATGTGTAGCATTATATTACTTTTAATTTATTATAAAGCGCTTATCAGAAGTTACAAAGACTATGTAAATAATATTTTATCATTAATTATTATAAATCAATTATTAATAATTAATATTTCAATTAAGTTAATTTTTTTCTAACCATTAGAGAATCATAAACCATTACTGGATGGCTTAGCGGTTCACTAGAACTCTTGGGCAACGTTTTAAAACCCAACCTGAGGGACAACCCAGCCAAGCTATCAGGTCATGAGTTTTACGGATCAAACAGTCCGCCTGGCGGGTCGGACCGTGACATCATCATGTTGACGTTAGCATGACATCAACAAAAAAAACACATTTAAAAAAAAAGATGCAGATTTTAATTTTTAATGGTTTTTTTTTTTAAATTTTTCTTCTCTACTAGGTTGGTTTTGTCGAATAAAAATGGGGAAGAGAGAAGAAAAAAGCTAAAAAGGGTTAATTTTAATTTTATTATTTTTTAATATTTTATTGTAGCAACCTGGGTTATACCGGTGGTTCTTTGGAAAAAAAACCAGTTCAACCACCGGTGGAAGTAGGGATGAGACACGAGCCGAGTAGCTTGCGAGCTACTTGAGCTCGGCTCGTCGTAAGCTCGAGTTTGACTCGAAACCAGTTGAGTCGAGCTCGAGCTCGAACAGCTCGTGAACAGTAGCGAGCCGAGTTCGATCCGATCTGAGCTCGCGAGCTTAAACGAGCTTCGGGTGCCAATTTGCAAGATTCCAAAAGTTGTTTTATTTTTAAGTTGTCAAAATTACAAACAACAGCCATGACCCATTCAAGACAAAAACGATAAACCCATTTCAAAGCTCAAACAAAAACTCAAAACCCATTTGGGATTTTTTCATTCAACCCTAAGTCCTAAGTCTTAACTCTCCGTTTAAATAGTAGCAGATTGATGGTCAAACCAGACTGGACATAAAACTAGTCAAACTAATATGTTTCTTTTTTTTTCTTTCGGCTTCAAAAATCCAACTTCATTCATCTTCTCTTTCACCTTCATTTATGTTATGCTTGAAAAAGTAGGGCTAAAGCAAAGCCCGATCAGCGTAAATGATCAGAGTTTAGGCAGATCCTATAGCCGTTTAGACGCAACCACGTCACATGCTGGCGTGAGCAGCATGCTCTTAGCAGTGTGGTGGGTGCGTGCCAGAATGACGAAAGGCTGGAGGCCATCCATGTGTCCAACCCCTGCGTTGAACGAGGAAATCACTTGAGTGGGTGAGCAACGGGACGCAAAGAAGGATTTGCACGATATCTGCCCCCTTTTTACGGATTCTGTAATCATTACTCCAATTCATTCCACTATAAATAGAGAGCTCATCTCCCGTTTGTGGGATTGGCTCATTTTACCCTGTAATAGCTAATTTATCTCTGTAATAGCTTATTCTCTCTCTTGTAATCACTTGCAAGTCAGCTCGCTGAACACAACCTGACCCTCCATATTAATACAATATTAGTGGACGTAGGAGTCACTTGCTTAAGCATCCGAACCAATTTAAAACATTGTTTCTCCACCTCTTACTTATTTCATTAACCCCCATCCGCGTGTGTTTTCTAGGCCAGCTCAACACTTCACACATGCGTTTAGTTGGTGTCAAAATCACGCATCAACAGTTTGGTGCTAGAAGGAGGGCCTGATTTAGTATTTGTCCTTCATCAGGAGAATCTCTAACTAACTGGTTTTACAACAACAAATGGCTCACCGATTCGAATCTGAGCGAACCAATCATGGTGATGAGGAGATCCCCTAGGTACAAGAGGACACTTCTCCCAAGGTGCCCTCAGTTCCACAATGCCGTGGGGGACATTCTTTCAAGCTCATAACTGGACCCAATCGTCATAAACTACTTGGAGAGGTTCAACAATACTTTCCAAACGGTCAGCCAAAGGCCGGACCATTTGGACCGGGTCATGCCACTCGAATCAAATAAGGCGATGCAACTGCTAAAAAAGCCTGCACGTCACGTAAAAGCGCAGAAAAGGGTGATAGCTCATGCCATGCGCACTACAGCGCATCAAAGGAAGGGTAAATAAGTGGCGAACAGCGGGCCCAAAGGCTCCAAAAGACTGGTAAACACCGACCACGTCCTAGGTAGAATACCCGTGGCGTTAAGGCTCGGTGGTAGGTCGCATCCCGAGCTGTCCCATGCCACATCGCACAAGCACTCCCACAAAAGTGCTGGGTAAGGCGATTCTTATCACTACCAGAATGGCGATCCCGATTGTCATCATGAGGGAGGTTCGCACACTCCGCGGGGCTGTTCGTACCACCGCGGAGGTTGTGAAAATTTCCCGCACCATTTATCGCCATCACACAACTCTAGCTAGCGTGTGTCGAGATTGGTCAGAACTACCTGCAGAGGAGAGGAAGAATCCGACCTACGGTCAATCCTCAACCGTAACCATGAGGGTCGAACCCACGTTGCGAAAAGTAATCCATGGGTAGTGCCGCTACCTCAGATCGAAGAGCTGCAGCGAGCTCTAGATCAGCTAAAGGCTTAGCAAAATGAGCAAGGGCAGGTCGCGAAGGCGTCCCCTTTTTCTCCGGTGGTATTAGTCGCCCCTCTCCCATTAAGATTTAGAATGCCTGATATGCGAGCGTTCGATGGAAATTCTGATCCGCAGGATCACTTGTATGAATTCAACGACCTGATGGAGCTTCACCAGGTTTCAGACTTGGCAAAGTGTCGTTGTTTAGCAGTAACTCTAACCTCTCATGCCAAACGGTGGTTCAGGTCACTCCCAGCGGGATCGATTAGTTTGTGGCCTCAGATGAGCATGACGTTCCTAAGACACTTTTAAGCGAACAAGAAGTTCTCAATGCCTTTAAGCTATCTCAGCAACATAAGGCAAGAGAGGGATGAATCCCTCCAGTCTTACATCGACCGATTCCACAAAAAGTTTCATAAGGTAGCTCACACTCTCGAAGAGTCTATTCGGACTCTCATCATCGCGAAAGTTCACCCACAGACCGACCTATGGAAAGAATTACAGGCTGAGGATGATGTTTCCCTCACCCCCTTCTACAGCCTTGCGGAGAAATACCTCCGTATTGAAAACTCCGTGGCAGCGCTCCACCGCCACGACCCCGACACTTCAAGTAGTGCACCTGGCCGAGGGGAAAATAGGAGGGTTGATAGCAGATGGGCTAATGATGATCAACGAAAAGGAAAGAAATTGCGGTTCGAGCCCAAGAAGTCTTATGCTCTGGTTCCTCGTCGCGATTGCGACAAGAGTCAATATACCCCTTTAAATACATTCGTCTCGGCCATCCTTGACAAGTCAGAAGAGGCCAGTCTGCTCGGAGAGCCCGAGCCCATGAAAGGTCCTTCTTCATCCAGAAACAACAAAAAATACTGTCGTTATCATCGGGACAATGGGCATCACACTGATGAGTGTCGAGCTCTCAAGTAGGCAATCGAGAACCTTATCAAGCAGGAGCATTTCAAAGAGTACATTGATGACTCTGCTCCCGTGAGGGAGAAAAATCAAGAGGAACCAGGAAAAAAGTGTCGTGATCGCAAGAGTATCTGCAGCGTCGGAGTAATCTTTGGAGGACCGCACCTCGTGGCAAATTCGCGAGGTGCCCAAGAAAGATATGCTCACACAACCCATCACGACCCCATCAGTGTGATGAACACGAAGCAGCGACTACCAAAGGTTCACAAGGAGGAGGAAATCACCTTCTCTGAAAAGAACATAGTCTGATTGCACCATCCCCATGATGATGCTCTTGTCATCACGCCCCAAATAGGGCGCTTTGACGTCCACAGAATGTTGGTGGACAATGGAAGTGCTATGAACATCCTATTCCAGACAGCTTTCGAAAGAATAAATTTGGACGAGGCCGACCTGAAGCCAGGCTCGATCCCCCTATATGGTTTTACAGGGGACCACCTGATCTCCAAAGGAACGATGTCGCTTTCAGTCACGCTGGGTGACTCTAACAAGGTGACCAAAATAACTAAATTCTTAGTAGTGGATTGCCCATCCGCTTTTAATGGTATCCTAGGGCGACCTCTACTGAGAAACTTCAAGGCGGTCACTTCGATATACTATCTCAAGATGAAGTTTCCCAGCTCGACGCGGATAGGGGAAGTAAGCAGATCTCAACGCATATCTCACGACTGTTATGTAAGGGCAGTGCAGATGGCGTGCAAAGAGAAAGGCATCCCGCGCAGCATTCCCCGACAGGCAATGGCAATCAGCTAGATCAAACCGTAACCTGGCCCAGCCTGACCAAAGATAATATGGATCCTCGTATTCAGGAATGCCCTTCCAATAGGCTAGTCAAGTCGCCACGACCGTAGATGAAGGTCTATGTAGATGACATGCTAGTCAAGTCGCATGTTGCTTCAGATCACATAGCGCATCTCGCTGAGATGTTCGATATCCTTCGGAAATATAGAATGAAGCTGAACCCTCTCAAGTGCTCATTCGGAGTGTCCTCGGGAAAATTCCTGGGATACATGGTTTACCAGAGGGGAATAGAGATCAACCCTGAGAAAATCCAAGCTCTCATCGATATGAAAAGCCCGACCACCAAGAAGTAGGTTATGAGCCTCAATTGGTGAATTGCGGCACCAAGTCGCTTCATATCGAGAGCAACAGACCATTGCTTGCCATCCTTCAATGTACTAAGGGCCAACAAAAAGTTTAAGTGGACTCCCGAATGCGAACAGGCATTCCAGAGCATTAAAGAACATCTTGGAAAACCTCATTTTCTGTCCAAACCTCTCCCGCAAGAGATTCTCCTCTTGTACCTGTCCGTCTCTCAGTTCGCGGTCAGTGCAGCTTTAGTTC